GCTCCCGGTCTGTTGGCCTCTCCAGCCGTGGCCAGGCCGCCGGGGAGCCTGGAGCCGGTTCCGGAGGCCATGCTCGAGGGCGGTCTGAAGGCTCCACCCGACCTGCGTCCTCTCCCGGAGTGGCCTCTGCCATCACAACACGGTCTGAGCTTGTCAGGTGACCGAGCTCCCCGTGGCCACCCTGGATGCCTGTGGCCACCCCTCTGTGTTCTGAGACCGGGTCCGTGCAGCTGTGGGTCTGAGTGAGGGCTGGTGCCGTCCGGTGCTGACCCAGCCCAGGCACGGCTGCTGGACCAGTCCTGGCCGCAGATCATGACTCAGAATTTGGTCTCACGTCCTGAGTCGTAGAAAATCTTCATGAACATTCTGCCTTGACCACGAGCGCTGCTGCCCGGCTGAGGGCCCCGGGTGGGACGGGGGCTCCGTCCTTTGGCCGGAGAGCAGCCGCGTGAACCCCGCCCACCACATGGCTCTGCTCCCGCGCTCCTTGGTCCCCACGTAGCCGTGGGCTTTAAAAATAAAACCATTCCAGTCTGGTTGGTGAAGTGCGGTTGTTCCGGAGGAAGGTGTGCAGGACTGTACACAGCCCTCGCAGGGCCGTGAAGGGAGACTGACCTGACCTGCAGCCGGGACCCTGTGGCTGCTGCCGGAGCCGTGGGTCCAGTGCCAGTGTCGGGTTTTCACGGTGTTTGGTTTTCAAGGAGCAGAAAAGCCCCTGGAGCCGCCGGCAGGTGGACCAGCTGTCCCATGAGCCCAGGCCCCTCACTGCTTTGTGGGGTGTGGGCACCCGGCTCCCCCTCAGGGGCGGGGGCGCTCCAGCTCGAGCCTGAGACCGGGCCGCCTGGGCCTCGGGAATGCTTTCACTGTGTTTTATCCTCACGTGAGGATATTGTTTCCATTGCTTTTCAGGGAAAGTGGGAAGGAGGGCTGGGAGGAGAGACATCGAAGACACAGTGGTTGGTTGTGCCCCGACGGGGGCAGGGAATGAACTGCCACCCAGATACACGCCCTCGACCGGGAATCGAACCCTTGACCCTTTGGTGCATGGGCAGACGCTCTAACCATAGAGCTACACCAGCCAGGGCCATTTTAAAACTTTTATTGTTATTTCTATGCACTGGGCAGCTTGACTACAAATGAGTAAGAGGAATGGAATTTCCCGCGGCCGAGCTGACTCCTGAACCCTGGATATGGGAGAGTCCTGGGTGCTCATGCCCGAGGAAGCGCCTCTGGACATCTTGTGAGGCCGAGAGAGCTGAGGTTGGTGCCTGGGGTGCACCTGGCCGGTCAGCAGAGCAAGCCCGCAGTGGCCTGGTGCGAGGCACGGTGTCGGTAGCTTCATCGCCACCTGGAGGGGAGTTGGCAGGAGGGAGCACCAGGTGGGACAGGTGTGCCCAGTGGAGATGCCAGAAGCTGTCAGAGGTCAGTGGAGGGAGGAGGGTCAGGGAGAAGTCCATGCCCCGGCTGGACACCCCCCCACTGGGCATGAGCTGAGGTCGGGGCAGGATCAGACAGGCCCACCCTCCCAGCAGGAACCTGCCTCCTCACCCAGCGGGGGCAGAGGGATCACTGTTTTTTGTGGCTGGGAAACGTGGCTGCCCAGCAGCCCAGCTCAGGAAGGGGCCGGCCGCCCCACAAAGCTACCAGGGACTCTCGCTGAGATGACACCCACATCTGAGACCCGGGGTTCAACACTTGGGGAGAGCCGGGCTAATTCCAGAGTTTTAAGAGGAGACAGAACTCAGGGACCATGTGACCTCCGTGCCCCTGGAGGGGGCTCTCGGAGCAGCCCAGCTCCCAGCGGGTGGTGCCAGGAGCTGCGGGCTGAGGCCCTGCGGGGGGAGAGAGGGGGAGAGAGAGAGTGTGTGTGTGTGTGTGTGTTTCTCAGGACAGGGC